CGTAACTCCTATTCTTTTCTGCTTCACAGCATTACGGACTGGGATTACGTAACCCAGAACCTTCCGAAGACATGTCGGCTACTCTACCATTTGAGCTATCCGGTCTATACTAAATTTCCTTTCACTTATTCTATATACATTAAGCCACACCGTCCATCTTACGGCTAGCATTTTTAACAAATATAAATAATGCTGTGAAGCGGGAAAGAATAGGAGTTACGGATAATTATTACGTGAAGCGTTCCAACATTCACGTAACAGACCTAGCCTTTGATTATGTAGACACAAAAGTCATTCTAGTCGCACTATATGAACTGGGTTTTTCAATGGAAGTGATAAATTGGTTCTTCCCATACCTATCAAACTGTTTCCAATCTATCTTAAACGAACATAAAAATTTCAATTGTACTTCTAAGAACATCGTCAGGAGTCCCTCAAGGCTCTGTGCTTGTGCCAATACTATTTCTCATGGTCATGAATTCTGTGGTCATGAGGATAACACAGGTCCACAAAAAAAAAGTGGTCTGTGCTGAGTGTGCGAAATATATTTTCTGACGTATTTTTTACCGCTGAACACGAATCTGAAGTCAAAATTGGGGGTCAAATTGCAAAAAACGGAGGAAAATCAAAAAAACCGATAAAATTTTCGATCTAATCATTTTTTCTACATGATAATTAAAATCTTATAATTTCTGTCGTTTCCTGGCCCTTTTTTCCTCAAATGACCTATACAACGGATTTCTGCTACGCTTTTTTCCTCGCTGTTGAGTTTTTCTTTGTAGCATCCAGCAGTAATCTGCATACATATTTACTCCTTACTGCCCCTGAAATCGCCGTTCAAATTCTTTGAGATCTTGATGAAATCTCTTTCCTTGCTCTTCACTAAAGTCTCCGTTGTTCTCCGGAAAGTAATTGAGATACGAATCAAGAAAGTGAAGTTTCAAGTTCATTATGCAACCTGAACGCTGAAAGTTTGCGATCATATTGGCCACAATATTTTCGTAATCAGCATCTTTGGTGTTACCTAAAAACTTGGTACACACTTCTTTGAAACTTAGCCATGATGCCTTTTCTTGTTCATCCATTACTGAAACAAATGTTTCATCGTTGAGTAACGTCCGGATTTCCGGTCCATCAAAGATGCTTTCTCTCAATTTTGCATCTGATTTGTGCTTAAACACTTGACACAGCTATGTAAAGCACTCTTCTTCTTTATTAAGAGCTTTCACAAACTGTTTTATTAATCCAAGTTTAATATGAAAAGGAGGAATGAGAATTTTGACTGGATCAACAAGCGGTTTTCTTATTATATAATGAGATCCAACCCTAAATGAAGATCTCGAATGCCAAACTCTTTTGACGTAGTGATTTTTGAGATCTCTACTGTCAAACATACACAAATAGCATGGATACTTGGTGAATCCAGATTGTTGTCCCAGGATCATGGACAAAATCTTCAAATCACCACATACTTGCCATTTATGTTCTTCATACTTAATTTTTTTCAGGACAGTTTCTAGATTTGTGTACTCTTCTTCAAGTACAGTTGAGTGAGTTAAAGGTAGAAGAAGCATTACAATCCATAAAAATAAACAAACCCCACATGCTAGAATACCTGGCCCGATCGCAAGTGAGTCAGCCGCCCTAGGGGTGATAAACCTCATACTTCCCCAGGCCTAAGTATAAGGTCTTTCCGACTTTGACGAGGACAATGTCAACTCGTTGTCGAACACACTACCGCATCATTTTCATATTCTAGCGCTTCCCTGCAAAACAGCGCGCCTTCGCTGGCTTCGATACCATGAAATGTTGACTAGCAAATCATTCTACACATCCTGTTAAAAGGCAGTTGTCATCGTATTCCAAACACTCCGTGGTAGCAGGTTTTTGCCGGTAAATGTACCAATTCAATGTCCTGACGATTTCTATTATATCAAAGACAAAATTCATTTGATATAAGACTTCAATAAGGCACAATAAGTGGCAAATAAACATATTTGCGAATCAGTGATGGATGCTACTGAGAGAAACAAAGCAGGAACTGCAATTTGATCATAACATACGGAAAATACTATTAGATAATGGATTTTATCGGTTTTTTTTAATTTTTTTCCGTTTTTTGCAGTTTGACCCCCAATTTTAACTCCAAATTCGTGTTCAGCGGTAAAAAATATGTCGGAAAGCATATGTCGCACACCCAGCACAGACCACTTTCTTTTTTTGTGGACCTGTGTAATCTATTGCAAGTTTGGACTGTTTGCTGATGATAAATACATCTACCGACATTGCCATACTTATCAGCTCCCGAAAGCAGTTCTACAAGTCAACTCAGATGCACAAGCTGTCGCAGATTTCTCAAAATATTTTTTTTGAGATTTCTCAAAATCTACCGGTCCGAATCGTTCTAATGTATATTGAAAATCTAAGTTCGGTCAAGCCTTTTCGAATGGCACCAACCGCGATTAAATTGGTCAAGCCGTTCAAAAGTAATGAGAGGTTTACATACATACACACACACATACATACATACATACTATAACCAAAATTTTAACATCGTGTAGATCTGCTACTACGTAGCAGATTACTCAATGTTGGTTATACTTCTGTCTCTCACTCTCACTTCCAGTCTCAACAAAAACCCAAGGCGCCAGATAATTTTAACACAACGAGAAATTACCAAAACTCTATACATGTAACTCAAAACGAAAATAGTCTAAAAACTCAATAAAAACTAGAACCTGAGATTGGTAGCTAAAGCGGAAAGACAGGTAAACCACGGTGTCGCTCAGTATGCTGGTTTATTGAGAGAGGGAGGGATTCGGATGCAGATAAGAATTAATGTGATTATTAATACGCTTAGATATTCGATTGATCTTTGATTTATTAACAAAACTAAATAACAAAAATCATAAACTTGACTCCAAACAAAATCATAAATATTACAAAAATATAACTAAATAATTTACTGACAAAATAATAATTAACTAATACCTCAATATAGCGTGATAACTCAAAAATAATAACAAAAATATAACCTGGAGCTCTAAAAATTCTCATAATAAATCTCAATCACCCTCATAATCTTTACAAAACCCAAAAATACTCAATAAAACCCCAAAACTAAACTGACTCTAAAATCGTAACTAAAAACGTACTCAATAATTAACCTCAAATACAATCTTCATAAAAACTAACATACCTTAATCATACCGTTCCTCGAGCTAGGATATCCCTTGGTGATTATTCTCCCGGGATCGGCTTTGGATTGGAACCATACCCGTAAAAATATCTCAAAAGTAATATTTAAAAATGACCATTTGGTTTCCACCGCCGACATGGTCAGCTGCCTTCGGTGGCCTGCCACCCGTACCGTATCTGACCAAGTGCTGACTCCCGACGAAGTTGGTCAATCCTCGCCGTAGCCAACCAAAAATTAAAAATGCCATAAATGACATACCGGTTCCAACCTCAGCTCAAATCCCTTATACTGGAGCGCTGACATTACAATCAGACTTCTATAATTCACCAGGAAATCCCAGAGTACTAGATGCCTACCATCTACGAGGCCGGGTGACTCCAAGGTCCCGCTCCACGACAACGTAGACTCGTCCACAAGCTCGAGACGCCAACTTAATTCACACTAAACTTTAACCTTCTAGATAACTGACTCTAAACTTACTCTTTCCAAAAATATAAAATAATGTATCTCAAATATAAAATTCTAAAACGATAATAATAACTGTAGCATAAATGAAGCTTTTAGTACGAAACAAAACTGTTGTCAAGATAGCTGAAAAGAGAAATCGTGAACGACTCTCTGTTGTATTCTGTAACCTGCGACTGTACTCGGCAAGAGCCGGACTACAAGTCTCTGTTCGCGGGATCGACGACGATCGTTCGGGTCGATACCCCTTCCCTATAACTCGACTATACCACGTGACTTTAACTACTATACTGTACCCCTACCTATAGCTTTACTTGACACCCAAAAATCTACTTTATCTACCACTGAATTATCACGATTTAATTAATTAAAAACTCAAACCAAATAAAATAATTTTAAGTTATCACTAGAGGTAACAAAAAGATAGATTTATAGGACTGCGCCTTGTGACGTTCACTTAACATAGACTCCTATCAGAAAATAACGTCACAATACATACATACATACAGACACCATCGCGGGAATAGTCAGGGAAGCTTCCTAGGACCTCAAAACGTCGAGATCCAATAAAAACTCGATTTTTGAAAAACGGGGTGAAAACAGTAACTTCCCGATTTTTGAAAATCTTCGATTTTCTTAGCGGGAAGTTAAAAAATTTTTTGAAATGTAGTTTTTTTTCAAGAACTTTTACTGCTTTACCGATCGATTTCAAAAACTAATCAGCTCTTAACATACAAAAACCACGTCGATCGCCGCCAGCCTGGTCGAAATCGGTTGATTCGTTCGTGAGTTATCGTTGTCGAAAGAAAACCGAAAAAAGTGTTTTTTCGGAATCACTCCGAAATTCCTAGTTCGATTAATTCATACTCAAAGATTATTTATGAGGCTTTCAAAACTGCGTTGAATGCTGCCAACTGTGTGAAAATCGGTTCATTTATTCAAAAGTTATTACGGTGTGAAAATTCAAAATGTTATGTTTTATTAAACTGCTATTAGAGTTTTGAGCTCAAAGAGCTCAGAATGACACAAGCTTGAAGAGCTTAAAAACGTAATGTGTAATTTTAAGCGCTTAAGTATAAAATGAGCGGGAAGTTGCACGGATGGCCATTAGGGTCAACCGTCGTCCTAATTTTTAACTTCCTGCTAAGAAAATTGAAAATTTTCAAAAACCAGAAAGTTATTGGTTTTTCCCCGTTTGTCGAAAATCGAGTTTTTATCAGATCTCGACGTTTTGTGGTCCTAGGAAGCTTCCCTGACTATTCCCGCGAGGTTGTCACTATGTCTGTGTGTATGTATGTATATGTGTGCGTGTGTGTGCGTGTGTGTGTGTGTGTGTAAGTATGTAAACTAGGGTGTTTCAAAAAAATCGACTTTTGTTATTTCTTCAAATGGTCAGCAAATTTTCTCAGAGAATCCTAAAATAAGGACCTTGTCAGAGTATGAGTTCTTAATTTGAAGATTTACAGGTCGCGGATTGTAATTTTCTATTTCCATTTAAATAACATAGGAAAAAAAGGCATTAACTTTGAAATTTTGTATATTCAGATTGAATCAATTTATGGCAATGATCATCTCGGATTCTTATACAAAATTGTATGCTTTACAAAAAAGGTCTCGTCATTTTTTCATATATTGATTCCTACCCGAGTTATTCGAAGTCAAAATTTAATTTTCATCGAATTTTTGGGTTTTTTTTTAACTTTTATGGTACAATTATAAAGGCACACAAAAAAGAAAAGTTGTCTGTACATTGGACCAGACTCACTAACCGACATGTTTACGGATCCGCTAAATCCAAATTTGAAGTCCGTTTAGCCCGGTCATCTTCCAGTTTCGAGTAAAATGAAAAAAACCCAAAATAAGGCAAAAAATTGGGAAAAACTGCAGTCACAGCGATGAAAAAATTTTTGTGGACACGGATTAAGTTTGACTTTTATGTATTTCAATTAACAAAGTCTGAATCTGAACTTTAACTAGCTCGTTGAGCCGTCAAAATTTGAAAAAATAGCGAAAAACCCAAAATAATTGGAATAATTGATGAAAAATCAAAATTATCGAGATGAAAAAAATTTTTTGGATTCAGATTGAGTATGACTTCTATTTACTTTGTTCCACTGAATTGAAATCTGAAATCTTGTCCCGTTAACGTTTTACAATTAAAAAAAATTAGGAAAACAGTTGACCCTAAAGGCCATCCCTGCAACTTCCCGCTACCTCCATACCTAAGTGCTCAACAATTCACTCCTTTTTTTAGCTCTTCGAGCTCAAAAATATAATTTTTGTGTAATTTTAAACTCTCCGAGCTCAAATGAATCACTGTTCTGTACTTTTGAGCCCTTCGAGCTCAAAAGGCTAATGGGAGTTTTTTAGAACACTGTTTTTTGAATTTTCAAACCGCTATAACTTTTGAATGAATAAACCGATTTTCTCGTGGTTTACGGCATTCAGCGCAGTTATTTGGGGTTCTTTGAAAAATCTTAAAGCTTAAACTAGTCAGACTAAAAATTTCATAGAAATTGTGAAAAAAACATTTTTTTCAATTTTTTTCGACAACGATATCCCCCGAACAAATTAACCGGTTTTGACCAGGCTGGTGGCAATCGACGTGGTTTTTTGAGGTTAAGAGCTGATTAGATTTTGGAATTAATCGGTTAAGCCGTTTGAAAGATATTTCAAAAAAACGAATTTTTGGAAATTTTATTTTTGAGATTTCTCAAAATTGATCGACTCAAATTCTGTAAATTATCATCAGAATACTAAGGGCAAAAAAACTTTTCAGAACGCCACCTATTTCGATCGAATCGTATGATTCACAAACAGTCACCAATGGAGAGACTCGGCAGCAAGATTGAAGAGCTAGTCGACTTCATAAAGGACAAGAAAAATGTCCATCATGAGATCAGAAAAATGGTTACGTCTCTTGGTACGGCATATAGGCTTGCCAACAAATCATCAACGACGACAGCGTCAACGACTCAAACATCTCCGAGTCTGAGCAAAAAACCACGGTCACCTGTGGTCACTTCTAAGAGATTATCACAGCAAGGAGAGGGCAACAACAAGAAGAGGCCGCTGTCCACGCCCAGCCCCTCTGCAGAAATTGACAAGCCAGCACAGAAAAAGCCAGCCCGGGATGATACTTGGACTAAAGTGACTTGGCCAAAGAAAAAGAAGGATAGAGAACAGAACCCAACGGCTCAATCTGCTACAGCCCAAAACCTGCCAAGCAATGATGGCTCCAAGAAACCGAGAAGGAAGAGGACGAGAACTAAAGCTGTGCTTGTCCAACCAGCTGAAGGGCGGACATACGCCGATCTCCTCAGGGAAATCAAGGCTAAGGTAAGCCCTGTCGAGACGGGCGTAGACATAAAGTCTATTAAAAAGACGAAACATGGAGGCGTTCTCCTTGAAATATCTCGAAAGACCGAGGACAGTAAGGCATTCATTGGAATACCTAGAATACCTAGCCCTGGAATACCTAGACATACTGCTGAACACCTACAATGCATGCTTGGCAACTGGTACGTTTCTCACGGTCTGGAAACGGCAGAGATTGGTTCTCTTAGACAAAGGTAAGGGAACCCCCATAACACCTTCGTC